TGATGATTAGCTTATTTTTTCAAAAAGTTATTTTTCCTCTCACAGGAAGTCCCATTTTAAGGATAAGTATAAGCTTATTAACATTTACTTTTCCCCCCTAGAGTATAGTTAATGTTGCAAACAAAGATATTTTTGATACACCTAATTGTATACTTAAAGTTATCTAAAGAATCAATGCAATCTCTATTAAAATATCATCATCATTTTTGCAGATCTAGAAAAAATAATTCTATGCTTCGTATGGAATCAGAGGAGACCTTGTATAGCCAAAGCAAACTTCAGTAAAAAGAACAAATTGGGAGGCATAAGTCTACCAGACTTCAAGCTTTACTACAAGTCTATAGTAACCAAAACAGCATTGTATTGGCACAAGAACAGAGATATAGGCCTTTGGAACAGAACTGAGAATCCAGATATAAAACCATCCTCATATTGTCATCTAATCTACAACAAAGCAGACAAAAATATGCACTGTGAAAAAGAAACTGTATTCAGTAAATGGTTCTGGGAAAATTGGATAACCACATGCAGAAGATTGAAACTAGATCTGTACCTCTTACCTCTCACAAAAATCAACATATGATGGATAACATATTTAAACCTAAGACATGAAACCTTAAGACTTCTGGAAGAAAATGTTGGGAAAACTCTTAGACATCAGCCTAGGCAAAGAATTTATGAAGAAGACCCCAAGTAATCAAAGAAACAACAAAAATAAATAAATGGGTCCTCATCAAATTAAAAAGCTTCTGCACAGCCAAGAAAACTGTCATTAGAGCAAATAGACAACCTACAGAATAGGAGAAAATATTTGCTTTCTACACATTCGATAAAAGGCTGATAAAAAGAATCTACATAAAACTTGAGAAAATTAACAAGAAAAAATCAAATAACTCCATTAAAAAGTAGGCAAAGGACATGAGTCAAAACTTTTCAAAAGAAGACAGAATAATGGCCAGCAAACATTAAAAAAATGCTCAACACGTCTAATCATCAGGGAAATGCAAATAAAACCCACAATGAGACATCACCTGACTTCAGTGAGAACAGCTTTTTGTAAAAGTCCCAAAATAACAAATGCTGGTGTGGATGCAGAGATAGGAACACTCCTACAATGCTGGTAGGACTCCAAATTAGTACAACCCCTGTGGAAAGTAATTTGGAGCTATCTCAAAGAGCTAAAAACAGAAATATCATTTGATCCAGCAATCCAGCAATACTAGGCATCTACCCAAAGGAAAAAAAAAGACATTTCATAATAAAGACATCTGCACTCAAATGTTTATGGCAGCACAATTCACAATTGCAAAGATGTGGAAACAACCCAAGTGCCCATCAATGCATAAGTGGATTTATGAAATGTGGTATATGTATAGCATGAAGTTCTATTCAACCATAAAACAATGGTGAACTAGAACATCTTATATTATCCTGGGTGGAGCTACAGGCCATTGTCGAAGTGAAGTATCACAAGAATGGAAAACCAAGCATCACATATACTCGCCATCAAATTGGTACTAACTAATCATCACTTAGGTGCTCACATGGAAGTAATATTCATTGAGTACTGAGTAGTTGGGACAGAAGTGGAGAGAATGGATAAACTCATAACTCATGGGTGTGGAGTGCACTGTATGGGGGATGGAAACACTTGTAGCTCTGGCTTGGGTGATGTGAAGGTCATTATATGTAACCAAAATGTTTGTACCTCCATAATATTCTGAAATTTTTTAAAAAAGAAAATATATCAATTGTAGAGGTCTTTTACGTCCTTGCTTAAGTATATTCCTAGGTACTTTAATTTCTTTGTTGCTATTGTGAAGGGAATTGAGTCTTTGATTTGGTTCTCAATTAGATTGTTGTTGGCGTATATGAATGCCTCTGATTTCTGTGTATTGATTTTGTATCCTGAGACTTTGCTAAACCAAGGACGTAAAAGACCTCTACAGGGAGAACTATGAAACACTGAGGAAGGAAATAGCAGAGAATGTAAACAGATGGAAATCCATACCATGCTCGTGGATCGGCAGACGTCAATATCATCAAAATGTCTATACTAGCCGAACTGATCTACAGATTAAAGCAATACCTATTAAAATGCCCCATCAGCATTCTTCAGCAGATATAAAAATAATTTTACGCTCGTATGGAACACAGAAGATCCCGAATATCAAAAGCAATTGCTAAGGCACCAAAAACAAAATGGACGCGCATTAACATGCCAGATATCAAACGCTATTACTACACAAAGGCTGCAGTGATTTAAATCAATATGGTATTGGGCACAAAAAATAGAAATACCTTGACGCAGTGGAAAGATATGGAATCCGATATACCAAACCATCCTCATCATAGCATCTAATCGTTGACAAAGCAACAAAAATATCACTGAGGGAAAAAATCGCCCCTCCTTTCAATAAATATGCTGGAAACTGGGATACGCCACCTGTAGAAGGCTAAACAGGACCCACACCTTTCACCTCACAGAAACAACCTACGCTGGATAACAGAGCTTAAAGCGCTAAGGTATATGAAACTGTTAGAACTCTAGAGAAACAGTTGGGAACATCCTCTAGACATTGGCCTGGGCCCAAGAGTTTATGAAGAGAGTCCCCAAAGGCAATCACCAGGCAGCACCAAAAAATAATAAATGGATATGATCAAACTACAAAGCTTCTGCACAGCGCAAGAAATAGTGCACTGAAAAGGAAACAGAGCAACCTACCAGAAATGGAGAAAATTTTTTGCATCCTATGCATCAATAAGGGACTGATAACTAGAATCATACTTAGAACTCACGAAAATTAGAAGAAAATCAAATAACCACTTAAGAACAAGTGGGCAACAGGACTTTGAACAGAAACTTTTCTAAAGAAGAGCAGAAGAATTGGCCAACAACATATGAACAAAATGCTCACTCTCTAATCATCCAGGGAAATGCAATCAACCTACAAATGAGATTACACTCTAACCCAGTGAGAATGGCCCTTTATCAAAATCCTCAGACATAAATGCGCGCTCGTTCTACGGAAAGAGAGGCTCCTACTGCTGGTGGGGACTGCAAACCTAGTTCACTCTGGAAAAGCAATATGGAGATACCTTAAGTGATACAAGTGACTTCTACATCTTGATCTACGCAACCTCCCTCTGTCGCCGCCTCTCACCCAACCCGATCGAATGACACCTTACAACCGCCCTGCCCTCGATGTTTATCCGCCAGCACAAACTCTCCATAATTGCACAGGCTGTGGAACGCCACACGTGTCTCCCAATCGCAAGACTCCGCGATTAATAAAATGTGGTAATCCATGTATCTCTGGACGTCGTCTTCGCTCTAAGAACAATGGTGACCATACCGCTCTTTTTATTCCTGGTTCCGAGCTGGAAGCCCATACTATTCAAACGTGAAGTTTCCTAAGAATGGAAAAACAAGCAGCGCGACATTATCACGCAAGCAAAATTGGTATTGACTGAACACGCACGCTACGCTGCGTCACACGTAGGTACTCACGATAGGGTATGGGCCCCAGGTGGGAGGGGAGAGGGGCGGGCGAGTATATAGATACATGATGGTTGAATGTGCAGCCATCTGTGGGATGGTCATGATGCGAGACTCCAGACTTTTGGGAAGGGGGAATGGGCATCTTATTGAACCTTAAAATCCTGTGCCGCCGCATAATATGCGATAGACAAAAAAAAGAAAATATATAAATTGGAAAAAAATGTACATTACTGTCACTAAAATATTTGGTTAATTTGTCTAATACATTTTTAAGCATGTAACTTTAAGGAATTCTGTGTTTTTATTTACATGGAGCACTCAATTCAGAATTTTTTTTTCATCACAGAAATTTAGGCCCAAGATTTTCTATTCTTTAAATAAGGCTGCCTACTGTACCTTGCCTGGGCCTACAACCTAGAGGCTAATTCATTGGATAATCATACTATACAATGCATCGACTTATAAGATCTTTAACAATTCAAAATCTATATACTACTACTTATATACCTATATACCTATCATAATATTATACATACTATATACTAAAATGGTGTGTGAGTGTATTTTTAAAATGCATTTCTCAATGACTATTTCAATTTAATCTCAGAGAAACTATGAGACAATATAGTTATTTTCCCTTCTTTTGTAAATATTAATAGAAAAAAATACTAAGGTACATAAAATGAAATGTGATATAGAATTAATGAGGTTAAAATTCATGGGCCCTAACTCTCAGTTCTTTTTCTCTATTATTCTCTCCCCACCCATATGTAATACACACATCTATACAGATATGTTTTTATATAAACAAACATGTATGCCTGTCTCTTTTACTTCCTCTTCTATTTTAACTTTGATTTAATGGGTTGGTCATTTTGAACTTACATTTCCTTTTATAGGGAAGCTGACAGAGCAGTTTGAAATGTGAACTGTGTTGAACAGTTAGAGCTCAAGAATTGTAAAGAAGAGTGTTACCCTAATATACATATTTATGGTGACCACGTTTTAGTTTGGAACAGTACAGATTTATGCCTATACTCCTGAGGTAATTATTAATAGCATTTCTTCAACTTTCAAAAATGTCTTGGTTTGAAGGATAATGTATATGGTTATTTTATCACCTTCCTAAAAACCTCTGGAGAAAAAGCAGCATTGGAAATAAGTATAAATTTAATTAATCTGAAAGTGAATCAGATAACTATTAATAAATTTTTCTTTAGGGACCAGAGGTCAACTAGAACATAGACTGGAATTGAACTCTTGAAAGTAGCAAATATTCCAATGCATTGTGCTATTGTAAATAGAAAATAAAGGCTGAGATGGTGGGTGGGGCTGGGTTTTCAGTGTCCTCCGCTCTGGGACCTCAGGAGAGGATCATTAGCTGACAGTCTCCCATCCAATGGCTTCATTTTACAGAGGCAGCAGTGAGACATAATAAATCCCAAAGTCTTGGGTGAGCAGTCTTTGCTCCCCAACCCAGCACACGCCCCTCTGTTACCTGAGGGACAGGGGACCTGAAGTCCAGCAAGGCAGCCTTCATTCCAGCACTGGCACCGCTGCTCCTGTAAGTTTGTAGTCAGAAGAGGTGTAGTTATTAAGTGCCATGTTTCTGTAGTTGAAATAAATCATGGCATTTCATTAACAAATGCCCTATCATTCCTAACTGCAAAGGAAAAATTTTAAAGGACCTAAAAATAAGCTGTCTGAGAGGGAAAAGTAGTTTCTTGTCATTGAAAAATATTTACTTCTAGAATGTGATTTAATGAGGTGTTATGAGTAGAAGAATCATATGTCACTGTCATGTTGTATAGTTTTCACTGTACTTAGGTAATCCTTCCTGTACTTCTCTTTTTCCCCCCAACATTTGATTCTCCACTGTACAGCCATCTACAGGCATTGGGTTTATGCGGACCCACCTGTGTCTTCCACAAAAATCATTTTAATTCAGTCTTGTGTTTTGTGGTGTGTGTGTGTGTGTGTGTGTGTGTGTGTGTGTGTATTCTCCTCCCTTTCTCTTATATATGACTATCCTGCATATGAATAGCAAGCTCCAAGATCTTTCACACCTTTGATTTTCTTGCTTATGGATGACAGCCTCTAACGACGATCCAAAAACTTAAGATTTTTGCCTGGTGAACCAAAATATAAACACAGGACATTTGCTAAGTGTTCTTAGAGCACTGTGTGTTCTTGAAATCAGATCATCAACTAACTGCCATGAAAATCTGGGGTTTGGGAAAAAATGCTTTTGACTTTAACAAAATATGGTTTATGCGAAAAATCTCCATTTTGGAGAGATCTTTTATTTTGTTTCTCATAATGACTTAGATTTCAAATACCCGTGTAACAGATATATTAGGGTTTGTAATAAAACTTCAAGCCAATGTTTTTGTCTGTTATTATTTACTTCTTTTTTGTTGTTGTTGTTTATATGTGTTTTTATTTATTTATTTATTTTTTCTTGTAGAGACCAGGTGTCTGTATGTTGCCCAGACCGGTTTTGAACTCCTGGCCGCAAACTATTCTCCTGCCTGGGCCTCCCAAAGTGCTGGGTGTTTTCCATTTGTTTCTAATGAGAAAAAGTTAAAATGCACCATTCCCATATTTGAAAGTGATATTATCACTAAGCTATCAATGATCTGTGACCTATATATTCTTTCTGTTGTTGTAATTGCTGTTTAGAGGTAATAATGGTTGCAAAAACTTATCTTGATTTTAAGAAAAGTTTACACCTCTGCCTCCTAAACTAAAGGTAACCTAAAATGGAATTCTTTTGTCACCGTGACTCTCTGATAATGTCCTACTTCCTTCTGTTGTCAAATATAACCATGATAGGAAAACTAGTACCCTATGAAGGGTACTGACATTATAGGGGTAGAACTATATTTTTAAAGTTACTCTTCTGAAGCTCTTTTATATGACTCCGACTTTCAGGGCAAAAGCCAATATTGGAAAATAGTGTTGCTCTGTTTTGGTTTGCAGCAAAACTGGGTTCATTACCACATGCTGAGCTCATTACTCATGACACAGTACCCTACATCTGTGTTTAACTGCCTTTTCTCCTTTTGATAGTAGCAATGTGGAAAGTTGCACTGCCAACCAAATGCCTATTACCTCCGCCTACTTTGAAAAAACAAACAAGAAAAACTGTTAAGACTATAAATAGAAGTAAATATCAATGTAATAAAAAGTGCAATGGAGCCGACATTCTCTGGTGCTGGCAACTTGATTTATATGCAAATATGATACTTTAAGTAATTTCCAACTTACTATGCTAAACTCCCTTTAGTTGTTCTTTCCCCTCTTTATTGCTGCTTCAGGTTTCTACACCCTCTTCTTTCTTTTTTATGTCTGCTGCTTCCTGGGGCTATCAGCTTTTCTCCCTTCGTGATCCATATTCATGATCTCAGGTACCATTTTCTGCTACACTCGTACCACAAGTCAGCCATAGAAGGGCCGAGTTGTCAGTCTGTGGTGAAACATGTTAATAAAACCTGTGAATTTTAAGGCTCATCTGATTTTCTGTATCTATTATACAGGCCATTAAATCTCCACTGAGCCCTCTTCTGATCCCTAGAACCAAGCCTAATTTTAGGCAGGATAGAAGGAACTAAGAAACATTAATCCCATTCACTGAGGCTCCCTAACCTACTTCTGGAACTGTTGTGATTGGGTCACTTGTCTTATCAGAGGGATTCTGGCTTGTTCCTCTATGGGTGAATGTTTTTCTTGGTAACCTGGCAAACACCACATTCCCTCTAAGGCAGGGTTCTATCTTAGTTGTCTAGCTCCCTTTTATTCTTTGCTGTAAAGTGGATATTTGGCTCATATTTTGGGGTCTTGCTCTCCTTTTAGGGAACCCTGACCTCTGAGAACCTATTTACTGTTGCTGAACTCCCCACTGACATGACTTACCTACTGGCAAGAGCTGACATAACATACATTTGTTATTTGTCACTGATTGGTAGGTCTAGTTTTAGGTCACAGCCACTACCACTAGACCCTTCCTTGCCCTTTCCAAAATGTCGGCTAATATAAAGTATACCTGTCTGTGTCCATTTTCTGCTGCTATCTAGAATGCCACACATCAGATAATTGTTTAAAAAAAATATTGCATACAGTCCAGAGGCTGGGAAATCCAATATCAAGAGGCCACATCTAGTGGGGACCATTTTGTTGCATCATAACATGATGGATGGCATCACATGGCAAGAGAGCACATGAGAGAGAGACAGACAGACAGAGTGAGAGAGCATGCTCGCTTTTATAACAAAGCCACTGGTGATAATTAACCCACTCCTGTGATATGGCATTACTCCATTTATGATGGTGGAGCCCTCATGATTTAATCACCTCTTAAATGTTTCACCCCTCAATACCATCACAATGGCAATTTAAACATGGATTGTGGAGGGTATATTCAAACCATAGTGATACCATAGCTGGTTAGCTTCCAAAGCCTGGATAAATTTACCTTTTCTGCTCCTGGCTATCTCTACATTCTCCATGCAGTAAGCTCTGGAATGGGTGTATGGGTTCTGGCCTGCAGGCTGGTCCCTGGGTACCTGAAGATCAATGCCTGACCGTGCCAGGGAGAAGCATTCTGGTCCCAAGTTACCTATGTGGTGCTCAAGCAGGTTTGGTGTCCCTCTGTTTCAGGGTGTGCCCTGCTCTGATGGAGAATCCTAGCAAGTGGCACCAAGGAGGGCTTAGTCCACTGAAACTCTTTAAGAGGAAAGGTTTGAACCCCACTCTTTGTGGAAGTCCTGGTGTGGTGGATGTACAGAGGGAAGAGGAGGCAAAAAGTCTGAATGGATGAAAGCTAGCACTCTGACCATTTCTGTCCCTCTCTTTGGAAGGCAGCCTGACTGGAATGTCCAGGCTCTGGGGTCATGCAGATCCCCCAGGACCCACCAGCCCTCCCTGGCTCCTGCAGTCTGGGCTGGAGTTGGGAAACATTTGTACGGGAATGAGCAAGATGAAAACTGAGGGGCTGAAGGTCCCTGGGGAGGACAAAGGTGCTCAGTGGGTGGAGAAGCAATATGAAGCCTGCAGCCTTGGCTTGGGTCTATGATGATGGGAAGCATCCCAAAGGGGCTCACAGCCTGGTGCTTTGTCCTCGAGAAGCTCCCAGTTCATTGGCAGAAGCAGCCTTTGAGCTTGTGAGGGTAGAAAGGTTCTCCAGCAACTCAGGGGCCTGCTGACTGCCAAAGATGTGAGGGAGGGAGAAAAAAATCACTCTATCTACCCTTTTCACTGGACTCCAAGCCTCTTGGTGGTTGACCTCTGCCAATATCTTGCTCCTTCTGTTCTGTTCCTCAACTTCTTCCCATGGAATCTCTTGTAGGTTCTGGAACTTCTCCTTTAGAATTACTCTTGATCTATGTTTGTTTGTTTGTTTGTTTGTTTTTTCTGCTTCATCTAAAACTTTTCCTGCTTTCTGAGGTGATATGGCGGCTGGTGTCTCTGGTTAGCCATTTTGTCTCTCACCACTTTGTATTGATATTATGCTCTGTTACTTATATCACCACACTTGATACCTGTTATGTGTTTTTTTTTTTTTTTTTTTTTTTATTTTTATTTTGCATTATTATGGGGGTAACAGATTTTGAAGGGTTAATAAATGCCCATTTTCCCCCTCCCCCAAAAGTCTAGTCTCCATCATGACCATCCCGCAGATGGTGCCAATCTCCACTCATTAATGTATGGTACTATACCCGGCCCTCCCCCTCCGGGCCTCCCCATACCCTATTACTGTAGCCCTAGTCTCACTTAGGTGCTACTCAGTTTAATACCAGTTTTACTTGGAGAAATATATCTGCGTGGCTTGGTTTTTCCTTTCTTGGATACTTCACGTTAGAGTATGGGTTCCAGCCTCTAACCGAAATATTCAAGATGGTGCTACATATCCACCATTTCTTTCCTTAGAGCCTGAATCGTGACTCCATGGCTATACATATACCACATTTTCTCATCATTCTTGGATGGATTGGGCACTTGAGCTGGTTTCCACAGGCCTTGCCACATTATGACTTGTGCCTGCTATAAACTCTCGGGGAGGTGCAGCGTGTCTTTTTTCTGATAGGAGTCAAAACCAAAAAAACACAGTGTCAACTGGATCATTTGGGCTAATGCCAGGGCAATGGGGATTGGCCCCATGCGATCAAATGGCTAGACTTCAGTTGTATGCGTTTAGGCTATCCTCCATATTGCTTTCCACGAGGGTTGAACCAGTTGCACGCCTTCCCACCACCAGTGTTTTTAGGAGTGTTCCTCCTCTTTTCTCCGCAACCACGGCAGATATCATTCCCC